CCCCAAAACCCCAAAACCCCAAAACCCCAGTAGATATAATTGCATAATCTAATTGATAAATTGAAATAAAATAATGGATAAAGACAATAAAAACCTAATAAATAAGTTAGTGGAATCACAGTTCTACACAGTATTCTAGCATTGTGATACTGATAAGCAAGATGCCTTGAATTTCAAGCAATTTAGCAGTTTCTTAGTTGGAATAGGAATGGTATTTATCGAAAGATTTTATCTAGATGATGTAATTGAGAGATTATTTAAGAATGATTAGAAAAATAACAGAGTCAAATTTTCAGATTTTATGAGATACTTAGATGAGGAATAAACTTATGACTATAATAAGCAGGAATATAAACAGAGTCTAGAACTTTTCGATCAAGATAAAAATGGAAAAGCTGATATTGAAGACATTAAAAGAGTGCTTAAGACTTATTCCTCATTGAATGACGCCTAAGTAAATCATTTCATAACTCTTAATCTGATGAATGATCCAAATGCTAATGATGACTATGAAAAGAATGTAACAGTAAATATAAAGGAGAGTGTTAAAACATTGTTTAAAAATTGATTAACATTATTTGTTTGGTTATCATTAAATAATAAGGCTTTATTTATAAATTTAAAATGGGAAATTGCTTCACAAATAAGTCGTCAGCTTCTGAAAAATCTCGCTCATCTGGCAATAAGAATGATAGCAGTAGACAAAAGCGCTATGGCTAGGATCCAGATCCCGAGGAGAACAGCTGATGTGAAGTCTAGTATGAAGGAGAAGGGGATGAAAATTTTACAAAGGGAAACCCTCCTAATTTTACAACAAACTAAGATAACTTTGCTGGAAAAGATAGACCAGGCCGTTTGGAATGGGAAAATTTTGGACTATTATAACCCAACTTTATTAGCTATATTTGCCCAGTTTTAGACACTCCTGATTCTAATAAGTTCTTAATCTGCGCTGAGTTCCTTATACATTATTTTGATGTAGAATAGAAGACAGGTGCGTTTAATCACATTGGAAGTTTGAAATCTCATGATAAAGTCGTTAATATGTGTACACCTGTAAATGAGCAGCTATTTATTTCTTGTTCAAGAGATCCCATCATTAAACTATATAATTACCCATCTCAAGATGACAATTAAATTTAGCCTACTGCATTATTTGAAGGACATGATATGTCTGTAACGAGTGCTTCAGTTTCTCCATGCAAAACCAGATTGATTAGTGGAAGTAGAGACTAGACAACTAGACTATGGGATTTAGAAACCTAGTAATAACTACAAAGTAGAAAAATAGAGAGAAATGCAATTACCTATCTGAAGTTTCTACCTTACACTCAGGACTTATTCATTGAATGTAGTGAAGATTTGACTCTTAGACTTTGGGATATTAGAGCTAGACCTTTTAAACCCTCAATTGAGTTTAAAGTTGGCACTAATTTTGCTACAACATGTGATGTCCTTAGCTAAGATGGGTGTGATAAATTATTGGTAACAGGTCATAGAGGTTTTAATGAATCTGGAGCTGATGTAAAACTTTGGGATTTAAGAGAATTCGGTGAGGACAAACTAGTTTGGAACTATCCTCACCACAAATTCAACCCTGAATCTGTGAGATTCGTTTAGCATTCAGATCCCTCTCCAGTGATTATCACTGCATCCAAAGATTAACAAATGCATCTAATAGATGTTGAAAAAGGTGACTAACTAGATTCAATAAAGCACGGAGATAGCTTTATTTCAATGGACATTCTTGGCAATAAAGGATTGTTTGTTGCTGCAGATGTAAAGTCAAATTTAAATTTGTTTTCTTATGATAATAGCTCAAGATAAATAAAGTATTTCGAGTGAATATGAAAGTGATGTCTGAATGAATGAAATCCAAAGTTATACTTTGGTAAAACCTTTTTTGATATAAGCATATATATATATAAGTAAATTTAAATAGAAGATCCTTTTAAACTTGATTTTTATAGTTCGGGGTTTTGGGGTTTTGGGG